TGTCGGGTCAGTGGAGAGGGGTGGGGCAGGGTGCCACCACCTTGGCCCCTGTGGCTTTAAGGGACACCTGCTACTTTTGTCAGCTCCAAACTACACACTGCAGTGGCCTCTTTGAGGATTTTCTCCTAAGAGCTGCCTTCTGTTGCCTTCTGTGCCCTCCCCGTCCGGTCAGTCACGGGGGACGCTGGCCCTCAAAGGCCCTTCCCCCTTTATTAGCATTAATACTGAACCCCAAAAACGGGCATTACGAAAACAGGGCCGCTTTGCTTTGAGCACTAGATGGACTCCTGAAGAGTCCGTGCAAAACAGAACCCTGGCGTGGTGGCCCTCGGTCCCACGACCGACACTGTTCTTTCAGAAGCGCGTTCCTACAGGTTGCGGACTCCCGTCCAACGCATCAAATCAAACAAAGCATTCTGACCCTTCCCGAGTGCACACGGCCCCTGTGCACTGAATTTGCTTGTAGAGGCCCTATTAGAAACTTAAACCCACAGACAGCTCGGGACTTCTCTGATGAAATAAACAAGTGCTAATTAAAATATACATCACATTCCCACTTAAATGGGGAATGCTATTTCTGCGCAAAACGGTCCTGTCTCTTAGGACGGTAGATGTTTATTATTAGCCCGTACGGGGCACACGAACTCACGGAGTCAAAACTGGCCGGGATGGTGGAGGTTATGTAACCCAACCCTCCACCCCCTGCAGGAATCCCATCCACATGCTGGGGGCTGTCATCATTTTAAGGACCTCTTAGTACCTCAGGTTCTATTAGTCATGAGCAGTTTATTTTTGTTCGAAAGGTCAGAGGCAAATGAAGGCGCTTACAGCTTTTTTTAAGCATGGGAGCCTTTCCCGGCAGGGTAAGGGGTGAAACCCGGCCATCGGCGGTCAACTGCTGTCCCTGGCACTGCGTCCAGCCCTCACCTAGGGCAGGACGTGGAAATCCGCCTCGGGTGTTAGTACCGGGCGCTTTTAATACACTAAAGCAAGGTCCTCGGTCCATTTTTTCCTGAACTGTCTGAAAATACATAAGCATTCTTGAAACAATGCTGAGGCACCACCTACAATTAAAACTGACCGATGGGAGAGGGTTGTGAAGGACCTTGGAGCTGGTGCCTTTTTTGTTTCTTTGTTTAAAAGAAAGGTAGGGGGCGGTCCTATAATCCAGATCCATAAGCCCTTACACACACGTGTCCAAAACTCCAAAGAACTCTGAAAACCGAAGTTGTTTCATACACTTAGCACATTCCCTGACATGAGGCGACTTAGAGTCTCCATTCTGTCCCACTTGGGGTGAATATTCATATGATTGCTGTGAAAACATCCATGTCTTTGATAAGGGGGTGCTTCCCAACTGCGGAATCCCATACTATCCAGTATGCATGATACACTATTTCCTTTCTAACATCAGGGGAAAAAAAAATCCAAGTTCTGGAAAACATCCAGTGCCAAAAGTTTTGTGGACCAGTGTTGTCAAAGTCTGACGTAAGAAGGAGCCCGGTAGATGATAATCAAGATAAAGGAGAACCTAAACTGGAGAAAATAAGGAGGTCTGCGCTGGGGGTTACAAGTGGAAACCTTGACCCAAAGCTGTCTCTGAGAGACACCCAAACACACGGGCACCTGTTCCCCGGGTTGCTGGCCCAAACTTTAATGTTGGTTCTGGATTGAACCGTAAATCTGAAGTAGGTACTTCTGTTTCGTTTCTCTTTTTTTCCCCCAGAAGGACACCAAAGTCAGAACATCAAAATACTGTCCAAAACTAATGCGAACAGGATCAGTGTTCAACTACAACCGTGGTCAAAGAGACGAGGCGAGGAGACAGTCAGAGGATCTCATGGATGGGAGAGGCTTAAACCACCCATCCACCTGTTAAACACTCTTCCTCAGGGAGGAAGGGAGGAAGCTCTTCAAGTCTTTAAACCGGTTGGAAAATCACATCACGTGCACATCTTGACCTAGCGGCACTCCAGATACAGCCATGCATTGTGAATATATACGTGCGTCTCCCTTTGATGATTTTGCTGGTGCTTACAAGGATGGGCTGAGACTCTGATGCTCCACGACAGGGTCCCGGTTCTCCACTGGAGATGGCGACTCTCAGGGTGGCCCCCTTCAGAAGCAGAGCGCTTGTCTAAATACACGTCTGCCTGATTTTGGGGAACCTGGTGAAGTGGCCAGAAATGATACCTTTCTCGTGGATGGGTTGTTAACATGTGTTCACTGGAATCGAAATGCTAAATGTTCCTCCTTCAAATTCCCGAGAGTGTGCTTTTCACTTCTTCCTGTACCACGGCAACTGCTAATCTCTTTGTTCCCTGAAGAGCTTCAAAAGTGGATTTGTTCACGTCATTTCTGTCTTGTTACTTTAATCGTGTGCTATTGACCAGAGTGGGATTTCTCCTCCTCTGCAGAGCCAGCCCCACCACCAGTGTGCTAGTGGGAGGCAATGGAGGTGGCCTGGGAGAAGGTGCTGGAGGGTCCCGTCCACCTCCCAGAGACATCAGGGCCACGGGCCTTTGCCAAGACATGACAGCACTTGAGACTTTCTGAGGCTGTTTCACAGGAATCTGCTCCTTTTCTTGGGCAAATCAAGATTATCCAAAGCAGACTGATCTATTTGGATTTCTGGATTTGCTTTTGTTTTTTCCCCCACTTTCTACTGCAGTCCAACTGAGTCATCCACATTTTTTAAACAATTTAAGATTCCATTTAATCGAAATAGTTTTATGTCGGTTTGAAAAAGTCCAGTGACAGGTCCTGTGAGTTCAACAGAGAAGCATGTCAGCTTCTCCTGGTGCCTTCGGCAAACGGGAGCATTTGTCACTGTTTTTTTTCTCCTCCCTGCTTGCTGAAATGTGATTCTGATTTATAAATCGACACCCGATTGACAGATGGATGGCCTACTTTCTGGGCGCTGGCTGCTGACAGGGCCCCAAGACATGTGTAAAATGATACCTGCTCTCAAGGGGTCTTCATTGTTTTCTTCTGAACCAGAAACATTCCCAAAGCCAAGCTACAATACGAGAAAGAAGCAGGGCAATGAAAGACAGATGGTGTCACCAGGCCCTCCGTGAGAACCCAGTGGTGGGGACGGTTCCCCGGGAGCCCGACGCAGGCCAGGCCCACATGGGTCCGAGAGACGATGAGGCAGGAGTCTGACAGGTGCAATGTGGACAGGCAGAGAGGAGGACGTAAGGTGTTTCGGGGAGGCAGAGGGTGGGAGGGAAATCTAGAGGCAAGAAAGAGAGAAAGAGTCAGCTGAGGCAGAAGATTGTAAAGGCAGGGCTGGAAGTGCCTGAGGCTGGGATCTGCAGATCCTGAAGCTTGCTGTCTGTCCTTTCCTGCCCAGTCCACAGGAGGCCCAGATGTGGCCAAGCAAAGGCTATGTAGACAAACCGTGTGGCCTGGCTGGAGGTGTGGTGTGTGCACAGAACAAGAGGTCAGAGGCCCAGTCGCTGGCAACCACAGGGCCAGGAAGGGCAATGAAATGAGAGAAAAGCGGGGCAGATTTGAGAAAATTTTCCAAATCATTGACGACTAATACAAACTACTCAAAACATAAACATTCAACTTTGCACACGCATTTTTAATTACTCCCTTATGGATTTAGTATGCAGCCCACTCCCCCTATAACCCATGCTCATTTCATTACCATCGAAATTATAATTCCTTAATTAGGAGCCTATCACCTATTCTTTCCTAAAACCAATCCAGAAACCACCAGGTACGAACTTCTATTTAATAAAATGAACATCTGTGATGATGCACCAGGAGCAAAATCCTCATTGTTCTAAAACTGGCACTTTGCTTTGACAACCAAGTACCTATTTTTTTTTTTACAAAAAAAAAAGAAAGAAAGAAAATGTTTTATTCCTTTAAAACACCTGCTTTACTTCTTTTTTGACTTCTGAAGAGATTCATTTTTATTGGCAAGAAGAGAAGTCACTCTCTAACAAAGGAAAAGCTGTGCTCTATGGAAGAGTTGCCCGCTACATTAAATAATGCACAAGGATATCAACCCCAAACCACAAATCAAAGTGGGGCCAATCCCGTTTTCCCACATAAAAGCCCGCAGTCTGATAACCTCACTCCTTTGGAATTAGGCAGCCTGAGGAGGCTGCAATTCTTGCTACTCGAGGGTGGCCGCACCACCGCGCTTCTGGACAGCCGGATTTCCATTAGAATCGCCTTCCCTCATTCACTGCCTTCTCCTCCACCCCCCTCCACCCCAGCGCAGTTATTCAGTGAGTTATAATTTGGCACTAAAATTCAATTAAGCTGAAACTTTGGTCATATGTGGCCTTTTTCTCAGCAACGCGCAATTTCTCCCACCCGTCTTCCAAATGTTAGCAGATCGATTTTAAAGCGGAGGAAGGCAAAAGTTTACTGGGACCAAGCTCTCCTTTCTAGAAACCGCCTGGGACTCTCTACAAATTCAAAGACACGCAGCGCGGGGTCAGTGCACCAAAGCGCTCCAAGTTTTGACAGCGCTGGTGGACCCGAGGCCTCGGAGCGCCCCGCGGCCAGTGCCTCCCGCTCGGGCGGCCGCCCCGCGGCCAGGACACCGGCGCGCCCCGATGGGAGTGCGGCTTGCAGGCCGCTCGCAGCGGAGCCCCCGCGGCTCCCGGTGAGCCGGCCAAAGTCTGTCCAAGCATTGAGACCCCATTGAGGACTGTGGGAGTTTGGGCGGCTTAATGGGATTGTGTTCGGTGCTTCAGGCGCTCCTTTAAAAGATTCCATGGCACCGACGAGACTCCAATAAAAGGGCCTCTCTAATTGCTCTCTGACTTTCTATGAAACTTTCTAAGCTGTGCTGACATCCTCGAATACGACTATGGAATTCAACAGGGGAAACCAAGGGGGTGTGCGCAGAGAAAGCGGTTCTCAGCGAGGCATGTGTGGGGTGGGGGGTGGCTTGGGGGAGGGGAGATGGGGCGGGTGTGAAGTCTGTGCCGGGAAAAGAAAAATATGAGTGTTCTCCTTTGTGTGCGGACGAACAGCCGAGCGCGGGAGGTCGGGGCCGGGGTCACGCGGCTCCGGACTGCAGCTGCCGCCGTGGGGCGGGGGTCCCGGGCGGCCCCCGGGCGTCGCGGCCGGCGGAGGCACAGCATTCCGGCGGCGCGGGCGGCCGCTGTCCTCGCACGACCCCGGCCCGTCCGGAGCGCGCCACGCTCCAACCCTCGGGGCGCCCGGGCGCGGGGAGCACGGGGCCGGGCGCCCGAGCAAGGTAAGCACCGCGCGCCAGCGCCCCTCACCCCTCGACAGGGCGCACGGGAGGCTCAGGCCGGCCCCCGCTGCCCGAGCCCCGCCGTCCCCGCGCTCCTGGGGCCCGACGCCCAGCCGGGACCCCGGCAGCCCCGCCACCGCGGCGCCCGGCCTTGGCCTGGGCCTAGGCTTGGCCTGCGGGGCCCGCGGCGCCTCACTCCGGGCCCAAGAGGACGGAACCGCCTCGGGGCCCGCTCGCCCCTCTCGGGAGGGGGCCCACGAGAGCACAGGTGACCTGCCCAGGCCGCCCGCAGCGGGGGTCACCCTCCCTCCGCACCGCTCCGCGGGCGGCGGCCTTACCAGGGTCCCGGGCCCCGGGCGCTGGCGTCCCTGGGGCCCTGTGCGAGCCCCCGCCGCCCCCTCGAGCGCTCCCGTGCGCAGGCGCGGGCCGCAGGGGGCCAGGCTTCGGCCGGCGTGGGCGCGCGGGCGTGGGCCCGGCCTCGGACGCTGCCCTGCGTGTCCACGCGGTCACCCGAGGGCGAAGGCACATTGGGCGCTGGGGGGCGGGGAAAGAAATGGCGGCGTCGGCGAGGCCCAGGCGCCGGCAATCAAAGGCTGGGGATGGCGCCCGCCGCGTTGCCCACGGCCAGGCCCAGGGCATGAAAGGATCTTTATCCTCGAGTGACACGGCGGCGGTTTCCTCCTGCCCCCCCCTCCCCGCGGCCCTAATTGGGGCCGGCTGCTAATGTGATTAAAGGCCAGTTAAATGTTTCTCGGGGCAGATGGTGGGAAGAGGCCGAGACCCCTGCCCCCTCCCCGGGGTCACGCCGGGCCCGTGGTCAGGGGACCGGTGGTGGTGCCAGTCCCAGGGCAGCCTGGCCGGGCGCCCGCCGATTGTTCACCCCGAGGCGGGGAGGCCGCGGGCGGGCTCCTGGGGCTTTATGTAAGCTGGTGGGCTTGGGGCCCGGCCGGATTTGGGGATTCTTTTCGCACAGTTTCCATTTTCTGGCCTTTGGAACTGCGCCCTGGGCCCTTGGGGCCCTCCCCCTCCGGTGCCCGGCGCCTGCGGGGCCCAGCGGCGGAGGCAGGCCTGGGGGCGCGGGGCGCTGCGGGTCTGGCAGGCTCGGAGCAGTTCGGCTCGGGGTCTCCCCACTGAGGACAGTGACTCAGGATGGTGGTGCTGCGGAGGCCAGGCAGGACCCCCGACCCGCAGCGCCCCCAGGCCTCGGCGACAACCGGGTTCCCACGTCGGCGACGGCGTGGGTGGTCTCGCCCTCCCTCCCGGGAGGGCTGGGCGTCGTGGCTGCCCCGGGGCGCAGGGCCTGGGAGCCAGTGTGCGCGCTGCGCTGCCCGCCGCGCCCGCTTCCGAGGGCGCCCAGAGGCCCCGGGGACCCCTCCCCAAGCCCGCCTGACCTGGCGGAGGCTGTGCGGGGGGCCCCCCAGACAGCTCCGCTGCGCCCCGAGCGGAGAAGGCCGGGCCATGCCCGGGTCAGCGGAGTCAGAGCTCCGAGCCCCGGCCCCACCGCCCGCTCCCCGCCCGTGGCCCTGTTCCCCCGCGGGCCCGGCCCTGCGCTCGCGCGGGTTCACGGCTCGGGAGTCCCCGAGCGGCCAGGAGCGCGGCCTGCCGAGTCCCCGCGGCTCCGAAGTGGCAAATCTGGAACCAGTTAGGATGGGGGCAGCAGATAAAAGCCGAATGGAAGCCCGGCGGAAGAGTGAGCTCGGGACGGTCCGCCAGGTGGCCCTGGCCGTGCGCTCGGGCGGCGGCGGCGCGGGCAGCGCGGGGCCGGGCGGCGCAGGCGGGACGCGGCAGGACCCACGTCGCAGGCCGCGCACCCTCTTCCGGGCCCCGCGGGGCTCTGCCCGCGGCCTCCGTGCGCCGCGGAGGGGGGAAAAGCCAGCCAGCTGGAAGGCCGCGCGGGGCCGGGGCCGCGGGACGGCGGGAGGGCGCCCGGGGCTGCGCACGGAGCCGGCCTCGGGCGCGCACGGAGAAGGCCGCCGCCGGCGCCCCCGCCGCGCTGCCCTGCGAGCACCCGGCGCACCGCCGCCTTGAAAACTGACGTTAACCAAGCAAGCGTGCTTCCGTGGAAATCTTACATATTGGCTGTTTACGTTTTTCCAATATTTTTTGGAATAGTCTACAGAACTTCCTCACATCTAACAAATGTCAGACTGAGCAGATCAGAGAATATGAAATAAAAAGAATGACATTTCAGTTTAAGCGGAGTGAAAGCAAACGGTATTTTTTAATAATATTTTTGCCAGAGTGTATTGTGGATCTAAAATTTTGTCATGTTCAAAATATATAATTTTTTTGATACTTAAAATACACATTTTGTACATTTTTCAACCAAAAGAAGTAAAGCATTTAAAAAGCAAAAGCCGAAACCAAGGAAAGCCTGCAGAGAAAATGGTGAGGGACCAAAGCCTTTCTCCTGCTCTCCTATTTTTTTCTTTTCCTCCTTAATAGCCTGAAGGAAAACAGAGTCAAAATAAAACAATTTCATATTAAACTAACACATAGATGGAATTAATTCCTTCCCAGATGGTCTGAGGGACCTGGCTGTTTTAGTGGGTTCAGAAAATGCTAGATTCAAGGTGATTTTCTTTCCTTCAGCTGCTCAGGGAATTGTAAACAGCGTCAGCCTCATGATTTGTTTTAATCTGCTTATTGAACACAGATAAAATTAGAATCGTCCTTCCACTTGACATAAACATGGCACAGGGAAAAGTCATCAGTGTTTTTAACCAAAGGAATATCTGTTTTTGTTTTGTACAAAACAGTAATATTTAACTAGTATGTAACAAACCCAGTGACCTTGCGTTTGTTTAAAACGGCAAATGTTCTACTGTCAGTAACCCCAATGGCTGTAAAAAAAAAAAAAAAAAATCAGTTTTTAAGTTAATCTTCCATTTGCTCTTTTCCAGTGATCTTGTGTCACTAAGCAAGCAGCATAGAGTAAAACAAATCATTTGTGTGTTCCTGGTAAATAATTTTTTGAGTCTCAAAAAATCAAAAATATGTCAACTGCTGCTTTTTAGGAAAAACCTTTAAAATGGACAGGAGAGGGGAAAATACGGTTTTGTTGACACTGGGAAAACTGCCTCTGGATGGGGAGGGCGCGTTGTGAGGCTCTCGGTGCTCCCGGGCGCTTCTGCAGACACACCCCGGCCCCGTTACAGTTATGACGCCGGTGATGGTGTTATGAGCCAGACAGGTCCGTTGTGCACCTGCAGTAGGGGAGGTGCCCTGGACCATGCACACGGGACCCACACCCGCCCGGCCGCGTCATGGTCCCATCTGGAGGACCCTCTCCGCTTTACAACGTTTTCTCTCCTTTAAACACTCCGTGGTGGCCCGCTCAGTAACATGACCGGGGACCCGTTTGTCATTTTCGCACACAAAGCCATAAGTAACCAAAGTCTGGACCAAAACTTAGAATCAGAGAAGCCCCCAGGCTGCTTTGTCACATCCACAGCCCGTAGTCTGAAGAGCGGGCCAACCATGGGACATCTTTGTTCATAGCCCACAAAGGCGACAGCGCGTTCAACCTCAGGCCCGATTACGCAGTTGCATTTAGGTGTGAGTGAGAGCGTTTGGGGTTTTTTGTTTGTTTGTTTCCATCTTTGTTTGGTTCTGTTTCTCTGGGAAAACTAAGGTCCCCCAGCACTTGGGCCCGCCTGCACGGCAAACGGGAAATCCAGCCAGGACAGGAGGGGGACGAGGCCTCCCTTTGGGATGCCAGTTTGCTCTGGGCCTGTTTATTACAACTGAAGGTTTCAAGGTGCCTCAAATTGCCCAAACCTGAGGCCCATTCCCAGGAGGGGAACGAACGCTTCACCGCCACGAAGAGGCCCCTGCAAAGTTTGTCCAAGAACCTTCCCAGCCTTCCTTGTGGGGGTCGGCCCCCGACCCTCTCCAAGGAACAAAACAGCCAACTCACATATTTTGAACACCCAGAATGTTCAGTGATATTGAGAAAAGTAGACAGCTGGCCTCTGGCCTTGGAGACCTTAAAACGATGTGGCCATAATAGACAAAAGAAGTGACAGAGTCTGTGAGTGCTTGGGGGAAGAAGAATGCCCTGCAAGGTAGGCAGGGTACATCTGAAAATGGCCACCCAGGGGTTTGTGGCCCGTATCCAGGCCTCTGTGGTGGGAGCGGGACCATCTGGAGGAAGCCAGCAGATCCGGGGGGCCAGCCCCACACTCCAACCACAGTTAGTTCCGGACTGAAAAACAAATCTGATAACCCCAAAAGCCTTCCTCCAGGTGCCAACTGCTGGCAGGAGGGAGCTCAGACAGCTTCCCCAACAGGCCTCCCAGCCCAGCCGGGCATTTCTTGGCCCCTGCCCATGTCATTGCCCTGCCATCCCTCTGCTCCCCAAGACACTCTCCTCGGCCACCAACACTGGCTCAGGGATGGGGAAAGGCTCTCACTCTGCTGGCTCCCCATAACCACATGGGGTTCGGTGCCTCTCAGAGCAGGCCAGCCTGGGGAGGCCCCTTTAGGGCCTTGCTTTGGGGACCTCCGGAGCACCCCTGGCCTGCAGGTGAGGAACAGTCACATCTCGACACCCCAACCTCTCAGACCCCACACAGCGGTGCCGCCACCTTGCTGAGCCAGCCCCATTGGTGTGCGGGTGGGGGCACATAGCGGAAATCCTCCAGCACGTCCTGGCTCCTGTCCTGTGCCCAGCACTGGCGTTCTTGTTCCGAGAACAAAGGCCCGGAGGCCCCTGCAGAACAGAGAAAGGCTGAGGGCAGTGGCTTTCAAAGCTTGCTGACCGTGGCCAGGGTAAGAAATACATTGTGCCTCTCAACCCAGTGCACACAGAATGGCTACGGATAAAATAAGCAATGAACTTGTTATACATGTCTAACAGAACGTTTTCACAAAAGAATACTTCTCCTTCCGTGCATCGTGAACCCTGATGTTTGTTATCCCTTTTCGTGTCTTCTCAGCGATGGCAGCCACCTACTAAAATGATCCCATGACCCTAGTGGGTTGCAGCTCAGTTTTTG